TTACTTACTTACGTTGTTAGTTGTCGTCTCGTTCCTTCCTTCCGTTCCTCCTCCTACGTACGTTCGTTCGTTCGTACGTACGTACGTACTCTCTCTCTCTCTCTCTCTCTCTCTCTCTCTCTCCACACTGCACACACCCAAGCCTCTCTCTCTCTCTCTCTGCATCAGTGCTCAAAAACTTGGTCGAGTCTATAAAGACGAGTTGCTCAGTCTCAGCACCCTACTGATGCGAGTCTAACGTACAAAACTGGGTATATGAAAGACTTGAAAAAATTATATATTTTGAGACTAAATCAATAATAAATGACGTATAAATCTATTTCTATATAAATTTATTGTTTTATGATTATTTGAGAAGTTTTTATTATGAAAAAAGTTTATATAGAGCTGAGGCTCTAAACAATCAAATTAGTGTCTACTTCAAACATTTCACTAGAAGAGGTTGTTTTGAACCCAAATATCCTCAAATTGATCATCTCCACATCAAGTTTTATACGCATGAAAAAAAAATGGATTTCAAGTTTTGGAAATAGTGCATCTTGTAAAGCATTTTTGGACCGTTAATTTTTAAGATTTTCAAGTTTCGATAGATCTGCTCGATGTACACTATTTTTTTAGCAGTAAATTTTGAAATTAAAGATAAAAATGCATTTTAAAGCTACCACAAAAATTTCCAGTATTAAAACCGCATTTCCCAACACTATTTGAAGGTGAGTTGTACTTTGATTATTTAAAGCCTCTACTCTATACAAACCGCACCCTTCTTTTATTGCTTTTGCACCCTTCTAGGCTTGTACAAAACTTGAGCAAAAGTCACTTAAACTCGTCCGAGTTACTTGCTCAGGCAACTGCTGAGTTATGCGCGGAGACGAGTTTCTGGCCACTAATATGTGCACACATGCATACACCTCAAGTTTTCTCTCTCTCTCTCACTCACAGACACAGCTCCAGTTTCCTGTTAATAAGATTTGTCATCTTTACTTTTCATCTTCTAGGTGACTAGCCCATGGTGCATTCCCTTTGCTTTTGTGGCTATTAGCTCATATGGGTCCAGCCTTCATGAAATGCTATTGGCAAAAGGAACACTCAAGTCCTGGTGGAATGCTGAGAGAATGTGGATGATTAGAAGGGTCTCCTCCTACCTCTTTGCCTTCATTGACAGCATTTTGAAGCTTGTTGGTTTAGGAGAGAGTGGATTCGACATCACAACCAAGGTCTCTGATGAGGATGCGATGAGGAGGCACGAGCAAGAGATCATGGAATTTGGTGGTGCATCTCCAATGTTTGTCATATTGGCCACTTTGACTCTGTTTAACCTAATTGCATTTCTATTAGGCCTAAAGAGAGTTATAACACAAGGATCATCAGCCATGGATTCTCTGATGCCACAATTAATCCTTTCCGGGTTCATTGTTAGCATTTGTTTTCCGATATTCGAGGCGCTGTTTATCCGCCGAGACAAGGGCAGACTACCAATCTCAGTTGCCTATACATCCATTGTTCTAGTGCTCTTAATCTCTTACATTCCAATCTTTTAGAGAGAGGACTCGAGGACGAAATATTGATTGGAAGAGATTCTGAAATGTTGGTTAATGAGGCCCCATTAAGTGCATATAAACTAAGTTTGCTGTATTATTAGTTTTTCATAAATGTTTGCTGTATTTTTACTTATTTTTTTTTTTTAGGAAAGGAAACCATGTTGTAAGCTTGGTGCTCTGTTGGCAACCTCTTGGTACAGTTTCCTTGAGCGTGTCAAAAAAATTTGAAGATTTCACCTTCGTTCCTTGTATTGAAGTTCCTCATAATCCCTAGCAAGCCATATGTACCCACTGTTTCCTTTAAAATTTTTAATACATTTATGGTGACAATGTTTATTTATTTTTAATACGTTAACGGTGAGAATGGGGGCTAGGACGTGATTTTGTGGCATCCGCCCCCCCTAACCACCGATACCCAAAACCCATTCCCAATGTATGGGGCTTTTAGTTCCTTAACTAATAGGTGGAGAGAGAGAGAGAGAGAGAGAGAGAGAGAGAGCCTAATGGAGTTTATGAACATTGGTAACAAAGGGGCATTAGACAGGTGATCCATTGCCGTTATTTCTAGTGGTCAGTGAAACCCTTGGAAATGCTCCCACGAAGTGAAAATCCTACAGTGCAATCAGGTCTACAGTTTCTATACCATGGTTAATCATGAGAGAAAAAATAATGGCAAGACAGAAATCCTTTCCCCCCCCCCCCCCCCCGTTCTCTATCTCTCTCAAAATATTTCCATGAATTAATTGATGAAAAAAACATGAACTCTTGTTGGTTTACAAAACACCTGCGAAAACTTTTAGTCCCTTAATAAGGGATTAGATTATGCCATGAAACAAGAAATTCTTGTGATCAAAAGAACAATTATGAAACCTACATTGCAAGGATGATCTAAACTCTGGAGGTGCCAAGCTTCCTTTCGAAGAGGCGGCGCAAAAGATAAACCTGAAGGACACTCACTCCAACAAGGGCTGCTGACTCGAAAAGAGCTTTGTGAATAGCCCTCCTGCTCATCCCCTCATTCACTGATGACAAAAGAGTTTTACAGAAACCATTAATTCGTTAATTGTGTCATGATATGAGAGAAGAGAGTTTACATGTGTGCATGCATTTGTGTGCGTGTTGTTTCTTGGACAGTGAGTGAAATAGAAGACCATATGAGGTGAGCTACAGGTGATCACCATATAGTTAAAGATGAATTCATGTAAAATTTTAAAGAAGGAAATTTACCGAGTGCTTGGCGTTCTGTTTGAGCCTCCAACCAGTGCTGCTCGAATTGCACATTGTAAAGGGCTTCTTCTAACTTGGCAATCTGTTCCAACAAGGGGTTGAAGTGCTCTGCGCACAATTCACATTGATTGAATAACAAAACATACATTGGCTTGCTTTGCGCACACAAATAAACTTGCTCAAGCATGTAGAGACCGAGACAGAGACAGAGAGACAGAGACAGAGACAGAGACAGAGAGAGTAGGGAACATTAAAATCAACGAGTAATGAAATACATGAAAGTTACCATCTTTTGCATGCTGCTCAAAGTATGCAAAATGGCCAACATGTATGTCAAAATCAATGGTTTCATGGTAGGGGGATTTGTTCGTAAAACAGAAGCGATGAAGTCCCTTGTGATGAGCCACAAATTCAAACTTCTCACTCGTTTTGTCACGGGCATCATGAATTTGATCCCCTGAAGGACCCTTCACCTGAAAATGTTACAAGACTTTAGAGAACATGAGAAGTAATTTTGAGATCTGCAATAACTTACATATGAAACAAACAGCACGAGTTCAAAGTTAATGAATGTCTTACGAGAGCAATAATTTTCATACCACAATGGATAAATTTACTACTCATTTTCTTATTGGCTACAATTTACGTAACACATAAACCTTAAACAATCTAAGGCACAACTCTAAATGCTGCTGAAAGACGTAGTTCCGGGGCTGGAAAATACTGCAATGGCCTGAAAATCTATTTCCACCCTAAATTCTAAAATTAAAAAGCTCCAAAATATGTACAGATTGAGCAGATTTATACACACTTAAAAATCTTGAAATGGATCGTGTACCTCACTTGTTACAAGATACACTATTTTTAGGTCTTGAAATTCTTTCTTTTTTTCAATATCCATACATCTTGAGGTTGAGATGATCAATTAGAGGGCTCTCCATTGGAACAACCTTATCTAGTGGGTTTTTAAGGTGCGCCTTACTTTTATAGTATACAGTATACGGCTGACGCCTTTTATAAACCTTTTCTTATTTATATGTTTCTTTTACGAATCATACTTCCCTAAAGCACAGGACTATCTGATGGAGACTGTAAACTCACCATTGAAACCCAGACTAAAAAGACACTAGCTCAACAAGTTAAGTCTAATGGTATCGGCTCAAACATTGTGGCATAAAGGAAGCGTAAAGTTCAGAACAGCACTGATATCCTTGGAGGGGTAAGGTCAACAAGTTTGTTGAAAATAATGCTGACATGAGGCATCCTAGAATTACGTCATCTAAATCAATATCTGGAATTACATCATCTGAATCAATATCTAGTCCACTATGGTTGTCCAAAATGCTGCCATCTTCCGAACCATCGCTCTTCCCCATAGAAGCTACTGGGATCATAAACATATCTATCCCTGTAACCTTGCTAGTTGGTTACCTCTAATCTGGAACCCAGTATTATACCCATTTTAGTTGAGAAAACAGAGTTTCTAGATCAGAGATAATGTGAGTGTGTCTTTTCATATTTGCAACATTGTACATAAAAAACAAACAAAAAAAAAAAACAACTTAAACACAAGACAAGCAATGGCACTTAAAACTTATAACAAGGGCAATCACAATGTGAACAATGAATTTTGCCACACCAACTAAATCAAAACTAATATGCCATCAACAAGCCTATTTTTACCAATTTCAACATAGCATATAATTAAAAAACTAAATAATGAAAATATAAATGTAAATTTTGGTCAGAAAATGTAAATGTACTTATAAATGTACACTGTTCTATTGAAAAATAATAATCACTTGACCATTGTTGAGTATGCAATAACTAACATCAGCCTTCCCTTGTAAATGAGCCACCACTAATGTGACCCCATTCCTCCACTTGAGTATATCAAAGACCCCGAAGATTACTGGAGATGGCTGATGCCACTTGTAGCATACTGAACCATGTGCTGCAAGGCCATAGAATACAAGCCTGGACTTAAATCACCCAACTACTCAACCAAAAAAGTGAAAATCTAAGTGTCCATAAACAGAAGGAGCGAAGGAAACTCACCACAAGATCCACACCATCATCTCCATAGTGCCATGCATTTTCTGTCTTGATTACAACAAAAGACACATGAACAGTATCCCCTTCATACTGCACTGAATGAGAGAAACACTCCTCCCTATCAATAACAAATCTGATGCCGAGAGTTGGTTGCAGGCTTGATAAGACAAGGCATAAGGTTAAAGCATGCACCCATCTCGATAAACCCATGTGTAGTGCTGCATAAGCAAAGTCAAGATGAGATTAGAAAGCAGATGCTCACAAATCCACAACACCAAACTATGATAGCCAAGAAGGACGAAGGGATGGACAAGAACTAACAGATGAAGCCACGCTTAAATCTGCTCCACTAAATTGTGAGAACCGAGGATTAAAAACTTAGAAAATAGATAAGAATGATGGATTTGAAAAAGTTACTTAAAGGTCAAAACTCAGAAATTTCAACACAGCAATAAACTGTTTTTCTTTAAAAAACCAGCAATAATATCCTCACTGGTCCTGTTTGCCATAAGAGGCACTAATAATGAGAAAAAAGATAATTTCTGGAAATATGAGAACGACTTTGCCATTAAAAGATTAACAGCTATGGTTTTCCTAAATAGAACAAGAATTTCTCATCTTCTGTACTTTGATGCAAAACTGTTGAACACGTTGATAGAAATGAAAAGTAAACAAATTACAATGGAACACAATTTTCTTTTGTAGAACCATTTCAACTATCAAAGTATTTGACCACCAGTTTAAAAAAAGAGAGTCTTTTACCAGCTTGCAAAATGTAATACCATGTCTTTTTTTCTTCATTTTTTTTTCCCTGTTAACAAGTAAAACCACATCATGATTTTCTAAGACCTTCTAGCATAACAAATATTGCCAGCATATTACTAGAGATTACACAAAAGTTTGATTTAGATTTATGTCAAGTGGGACTTGTAAAATGCGTGTTAGTGTTCCCCATTGTTGGTTTATCATCAAGATTAGTGGGGCTCCTCAAGGTTGTATTAGAAGTTTGAGCACTTTAGGTAAAGGTAATTCTCCACCCTTGTTTATTTTTTGCGACAATGTTTGAAAGTGCCAATGAACAAGTTGAACATGCAAAGAATGTGAGCTAGATTGACTGGTGTGTCCCTTGGGGATGGTGTTGATAATGGCAAAAATATAATTTCTGGAAATATGACAATTTTTCATAAAAAGAAATGGCTGCAGTTTTCTTAAATATAACAAGAATTTCTCCTTGGTTGTATTTTGATGCGAAAGCTTTGAGCATGTTAATAGATTTTTTTCTTTAAGTGTTAGCTTTTAATAGGATTTAAAAGTAAACAAATTTCAAGGGAATATAATTTCTTTTGTAGTTTATCTATTATTATATTATCCCAGTTTTTTAGAAAGCAAAAGCTTTCCAAATTTTTTTTGAGAAATTACAGCAATAAGAAATTCTGTTGACAAGTAAAACCAAATTATGATTTTCTAAGAGATTGTAAAGTGAAATATTTGATCAGCAAATTATTAGAGTTTACACAAACTTTTGATTTAGATTTATATCAAATGGGACTTCTGAAATGGGCTTTTTGTTCTCCATTGTTGGTTTATCTATAATGATTACTGGGACTCCTCAAGGTTTATATTAGAAGCTCAGGTACTCCACCCTTGTTACTTTACACCACAAAGGTTGAAAGTGCCAGTAAGCTAATTGAACATGCAAAGAATGAGGGTAGATTGATTGGTGTTTTCCTTGGGGGTGGTATTAACAGGGGTTCTCATTAGTAGTTATGATGATGCTATATAATTAGACATGTCTCATAGAATAATTTATGTTTTGAAAGAGACTAGACTCTAGCTGTTGAAAAAAAATGATTTTGAAACTCAATTTATCATCAAGTCGAGAGAATGGAAATTCCCAAGCCAAATATAGAAGGCTATGAAGCCCCATTGGTTGAACACTCTCAAATCAACACAAAAAAAAGTAACACCATAACATATCAAACTCAACAGATCTGAATACGCAGCTAACCGTCTTGCCATCATTGCCCCTAAGAAACAACAGAGGATATTGATAATCTTCACCATACTTACCGGGATTTTCCATTTATGAAGGCCCTCCTGCTCCCAGAACATGGTTATGTGCGGTTATGTATTACAGGAGTGGGAACGAGTTCCCATTCTCTTAGGAACGTGTTCCCCGTATTAAGGAAACTCTTTCCACTAAGAATGTTAAGTAAGAGTCCCCTCTTTCCTTTGAAGCGCCCCAGTATGGGAAATACAAAATGCATTATAAGGTTAATTTTGTGTTTCAAAGAGGGGAACATGCTATGCTAAACCATATTAGGAAGGGAATCTGAGCATCAAAGTCCTGACTTTGTCCGAGCCCATTATCAAGTTCCATTGAAGTACGTACGATTTCAGATGCATAATGGGAGTATTAGAATACCGAATGATACATTTTCATAAATGATGTTTTGAGTTATGTTACTTTGATGCATATGTATTAGAGGTGCATCAGTGGCGGACATATATAAACAGTGATAAGCACATGATCATTTCCAGATATTTTTACATGTTTGGAAAGCATTTACAATGTCTTGGCATAAACTTAATCCTTTCTTGTTTCACATAGACATATCTGGATATTGACAATACATATGGAATCATAGTTTGATGGCAACCAAACCATAATTGTTTTTCTTTTCTTTTTTTCCTTTGAGCTATCATGCAATATTTTACCATGATAATTCTTTATAACGAGATGGGAAAGTAGTACGTTTGTCTTGGACATTTTGTTGCCTCTTTATATAGTAAACGTGTGCCAATTTCCACCCTTTGTCATGGCTAAACAATCTTCATGCTATATGTATATACTACAAAATAATGAATAATATTTTCCAGATTTTTATGAAAGTTTACTATTTCTATATATACAATGCTCATAAGATAGGAAGCCTCTGGTAGGGATATATCCTTTGCTCCTGCTACTGCTCCAATTCCATGAAACTAAAGCTCTAAAGGCGCATATCTATATTAATCAAGTTGATCTCTTTTATCAAACATAATAAATTAGAACAACATATCTTGTTATTCTAGTAATCTAGTTTACTTCCTTACTTTTCTTGTTTTCATGCCATGCATGAGCCATTTTCTCATGCATGTGTATAAAGATATGGATCGCAAAGTGTCCCACAGAAATCATAGCTAGATTTAACAGAAGATAGTTATCAATCCAGAAACATGCGATAGGGATCCAAGTATTGATCAAACAAGAATATCCACAATGTAGAGCATTAGTAAAAAAACAAATGATGACATTGACAATAATTGCACGAGCAATGTTAAAACAATAAAAGTAATATTTCTTTATTCATCAAAAATAACTCACAGGATCCAACTCCCCATGCATTTTCAATTATGTTCCCGTCATAGTTCTTTTTTTCAATTATGTTCCCGTCTTCAACTTCATAAGCCCAACAGTAGGATCAATGAGTAATAAACATCCTTACGCTTTTGTTTTTGGTTTTGGGGATAAGGAGCATCTTAGGCAATTCATTCTCAGATCTGGCATCTACATGGCTTGGATGATAATTCAATTGAACGATACTTATAATCAGTATGTGACAATGCCCTAAAGTAGAGTGGTAGTTCTCAAAATAACTGTCATTTTTCCTAAAATGCGGAAGCCCAAGTGAGAGATTCACAAGATTTACGCAGAAGCGTGCTGGTTGAGAAAATAAATAATGCCCTGAACTAATGTATAGAAAAAATTGGTCACCTTCAAGACAGAGAAGTATGAACCAGTCAACCCAGAGTATTTACCAATCATTAATTTAGAGTTTCATTTTTCTTTTGGACACTGAAAAGGAACTAAAACGCAAATTCCAAGAGCTGAAACACATAACAGACTAAGCCTTCATAATTAAAGGTTCGAATCAAGATTTATTTGATATCCAATAGCTATTACGCATCAAAGTGAATCATTAGACCAAAAAAAGGTAATTAGTTAAGATTTCTTCTTTTTTATAAATGTATAATCAACATTTATTCTTGAACTATTGATGATGAAGCCCCCAAAACATATCACTAATCTCATACACCCTACCTTGCAGAAGTTGATCTGCATCATATGATCCTGCGAACAATTGAAACAAACCACAAACATCCACAATATGGAAACAACAATGATAAAAAGTAACACAATCCCAGTAATTAGAATCATAACAACCCTAGAATTATACATAATTCATCAAGTAAAAGTGAATCTACAAAAGAAATGCTTAGAAAAAAATATAAGAAAATAAGCTGTACGATCCAAATCTTCTAAAAAGTAAAAAGAAAACATAAAAAAGAAAAGAAAAAGAAAATGCTTATTTACAATCAACTTCCCAAATATACAAACACATCAATTAATATTAGAAAAAGGAATGAGATTTACAGATCAACTGTAGAATAAATTAAGGAAACAATTCAGGGAAGGCATACCTTCAAGGAGAAAAAATTGCAGTAAAAAAACCCTAAAAATTTGAGGCTTTGCTAAAAGCATGAAACTCTTGTTTCAAGTTTGTTTAAAGAATCCTTGATGCTCGGGAAAAATGACAAGGATATCCTAAAGAATCTCAAAATGACAAAGGCGTACTAAATATGTATCTCACAAAACTAAACTTGACCCAAAATTCAGTGACCAAATTTTATGAAGGTTTGAAACTTCGCATACAGTACAGAAATTTATGTGGGTCACAAATCCATCCTGTTTTTAAAACAAGTAAAGAGGGAGAAGTGGTAAAGGTTGCCACAACTTGGACTTCGAAGAAATTTAATAAAAAGGGGAAGCATACGAAACGTTGATGTGATCACAGAAAAGGTATGTTTACCTAGACACCTCAAATCTGATTGGTTTTTGGTATTGATCATAGAATTCAATTCTAGCCCACACATGGAGTCTTAGACCACTTTGGAAGCTTTCCTATAAACCCCAGGGTCCAAATTACCATAATACCCCAAAACCATAAAACTTAGTAAAAAAATACACCCCAAGTTAATCTTTTACCCAATTGACCTGAAACCTATACCATCTTTGAATGTGAATTAGTATTTGGTAATCTTGTACTAAGTAAAGGCATTGTTGGCTTTTCATACATCTGGATTATGTATAATACTTATGTGTCCTTGTGTTTGACTATCTACCTATATTTCAGAATTCCATAGTTTCAATTTTTTTTACTGTTTGGGCTGATAAAATCAGAATTTATTGATCTCTTTCACTCGGCACATATTTGATTTGTACCTAGCTTGTACTCTCACTCACCATTAAAGATAGAAACTATACATCAAAAGTAGGCATAAATGCCAATAAGTTACAAAAGCAAAAATCCAATGGCTGAAAGAAAGAGAATTATGCACATACAAAAAAGTATATCAATCAAATGGCTTGAATTACACATCACTGTGCTTTACATAAAGGGGCATGATATTTATATTCAAATTCGTGGAATTCGTCTCTGCCATATTTTTTTTTGATATCAAGGTTTGAAAATTTTCAATTAAAGCGTGGCTAAGTTGAAATCTCATAGTACTCATTTGACAGAGGTAAGCTTCTTGAGCAAAACAACTCTGTGACTCAAAAATAATATTCAAATTTTCTACCTTAGAAAACGCATTAAAGTGGTTATTATTTACTGAGATATAGACCATAGTATGGGTCCATTGAGGTCATCATTGTTGGGAACTGAGACTTGCCGATTGCCCCTTGTTGCTGTGAACCCCCCACTACAACAAATTTGATAACTCAAAACCAACTCACCTATCACCCGCAAATCGATTTCAAGAAACTGAAACACCTACGAACTATATATGGTATCATAAATTTAGAAAAAATAGAAAGAAACTATGAGAAGCAAAAACAGAAAATTCAAGACCACAACATATCACAACCCACAATCCAAACACCACAAATATATGTGGTTCACCTAATTCGGCTACATCCACGAGAAAACGCACAAAGAAATGAGATCATTATTATAGAATTTACAAGACTGGGTAAATACAAGGGTTCCGAGATAATTGGCAAATGACCATTGATTCCCCTTTTCACTACCATGAAAGAACCACAAGACCAAACTCCATTGTCAACTCTATCACCATGGCTCTACCTATCATAGCAAATGCCGATGAAATCCCTTAAAAAAGGACACAATGGTAGCTAGGGTTTTGATCAAAACCCCCAATCTCAACCTCAACAAAAACTCTCCTTCACAAGCAAACATTTTCCTCTCTACAAAATGGTTTATAAAGCCCCTTCTTAAAGTGGCTTTTATAGTGACTAAAATGCCCTTCAACAAAAGGAGAAGATTCCAATTGGGTGGTGATTTTGTATCATCGACCCAACAGTCTCCACTTTGATACATAATAACACCCTTACCTTGCCAACCATATATAGCTATTCTTTTGTTCTAGAACCTAGAGAACATAGTCAACCCTACAAGCTCTCTAGCCAAGTAGCTTCCATGAGCATACCTTGCTCATCTTACTTTATTTTTATTCTTTTCATGCAAAATCCACCTTTTTTTACTCTCTCATCAATGGTGTTTGAGGCCATGCCACCTCCTCACATGTTGTGTTGCCTACAAGCATGGACCAGTGCTTGATCTCGTATCACCGAGATCCTTCCAATACGTCTCTTGCACAAAGGCCTGTAAATACTCAAAACCTTGGTAATAGTTGCCCAATCTTCTCAAAATCCAAAGTCCCCATTTGGCTCCATTCCAAATTTTCCTTGCTAACCACAAACCAAATAAGAAAACAACAAACAAAAAAATAACAACCTTGTATTTTAACCATTACAATGATCAAAATTAATACTAGAGTACAGTATAACATTCTATTCACATCAGTCCCGCGACCAAATTTTGAATGTTGGATTGAAGAAAATTCATGAGGTGCTTCCATCTTTACATCCTCTTTTGAAAGCCCCAAATTCTCATTTTCTCCACCTGGCTGAGTATCTATGCCAAGCCCTTGCTTCGCACCATTAAGATCTTCCATTGTCAAACCATGTACCACTTGTTGAGCTTCATTTACCTTTTCATTTAAAATCATACTCCCTAACAATTTGCCCAAAAATTTACCTTTTCATTCAAAATCATACTCCACTTTGCCCAAAAATTTTGCAACTTTACATATCAAGAGAAGAACATGCCTTACATTTTCAAAATTCTAAACATTCCTTTATGCTAGGTTAGTGATACAAAATCACCACCCTATAAGATTTTCCCTTATGTTAGACACAGTAAAGAACATTCTACGTGGGGGCTTTATAAGCTGTTTTGTCGAGAGAAAAAAGTGTACAAGTGAAGAACAATTGTTGCTGAGGTTGAGATTGGGGTTTTGGACAAAACCCCAATTACTAGTATCCCTGATTTTTGGTGTTTTTCAGCAGCATTTTCCATTATCGGTGGAATCACAGTGATGGAATCGACATTGGAGGTTCGTTTGTTGGTTCTTTTGAAGTGGTAGAAAGGGTAATTAGTGGTGCTTTCCAGATTTTGAGGTAACTTTTGTCTACCTAATATTGTAAATCTTCCCTGATAATGACATCATTTCCTTGCCGTTTGTCTGTGGATGTAGCCGGATTGAGGTAAATCTTGTAAATTCACGGTGTTTGGATTGTGGTATATAGAATTTGTAGTTTTGAATTTCCTATTTTTACTTTTGTTGATTTCCTTTTCTTGCCCCAAATTTACTACACAAATATAGCTCTTGCGCATTTGGGTTTGTTGAATTTGAGTTTGCTAGTGATAGGCAAGTTGATTTTGAGGCATTGAATTTATTGTAGTGGGGCTTCACCACAACAAGGGGCAATCAAGCAAGTCTTTGTTCCCACCAAGTGATATCAAAGCTCATGGGATGTCTGTAGTAATTTGGGAAAATGGCTAGGTACAAATTTGAGTAGAGAAGTTTGATGGGATGAAAGAAATTGAACTTTAAAAAATTAAAAAGTTCACGATATCCAAGTGATATCCAAGAAACCAAGGAGTATGAAGAATCATGCTTGGGAAGAATTGGATAAGAAGGTGCTCACCACTCTTTGCTTGTGTTTAGTGGATGAAATATTATTTAATGGAAAAAGTTTCTATAAATGTTAATTTCTAAAGAATCAAATTACGGCGCACCTCAAAACTTTCACTAGAAGATGTTGTTTTGATGCCCAAATATCCTCAAATTGATCGTCGACCTCAAGAAACATGGACTTGAGAAAAAAATGGATTTTAAGCTATGTAAATAGTGCATTTTGTAATGCATTTTTGGACTGTCAATTTTCAAGATTTTCGAGTTTTCATTGATCTACTTGATCTACACTATTTTTGAAGCTTTAAATTTTATAATTACAGATGAAAATGTATTATAAGGCTATCACAAAGATTTCCAGTACTGAAATCACATTTCACGACACTATTTGAAGGTGTACTTTACTTTGATTGTTTAGAGCCTCGGCTCTAAACAAACCGCACCCTTATTTATTTAACATAGTTGGAGAAAAGATGATAGCAAATTTATAGGCAAAGTTTAAAACTTGCACCAAACCAAATCCCCTCCCAATTGTACTCTGAGGGTGAAACATGGTATGAAATGTTGGAACACTTGGATGAATTTAACAACACAATTTCTCAACTCGACAGTACCAAAGTGAAGATGGAGAGGAAAATAAGACGATAATGTTGCTTTGCTTGTTATTAGAGTGTTATGGCAATTTTTGTTATTATTTTGAATTGTAACAAGGAGGAATCCCTGTTCACTCAAAAACAAAAACATGGAGGAATACCTCAAATTGGACTCTATAGAGCTCTCCTTGCCAGTGAACTCCAAAAGAAATTTCGATGGATGGTTTAATGGTTCAAGGATGGATACTCTTGTAACAAGAGACCAATGGGATGAACATTATGGTTTATTAAGAAATTCCTTATGGGGCAAACGTGGTTTTCAATCAAAGTTGAGGGGGTCATATGACAAAAGCGATTGTTGGTTTTGAGGAAGCCCGACCACATAAAGAAAAATTGTTCGGCAAAAAAGAAGATAAATTCCTTAAAGAGTTCCAGTTTGGGAATGTCCAGTTTGGGAATGGAACGACAAGGTGAAGCCCATAATGAAACTCACCAAGTTGGAGAATCAATATCCAGTTCACTGCTTGTATCGAAGAAGTGTTGATGGTGGGATGAAATTCCATGTACTATCAAAGTTGGATTCTTAATAATGGAGTCACGCATCATATATACTCGCTAGATCATGGTTTAAGGCATTTAAGCATGTGAAGGCGGATTGGCATC